ATGCTATTGGTTGTTTAAGCAGAAGGTTCATGTCACGGGAACTGAGATCACGTCTTGTTGTGTATGTCCAAAGATAACGGGAGAGTAAGATGATGGTAACATGAGAATAATATTTGGATTGGATGAATTCGTCCAGGTCTAAGTAAGTGTTGTTACTAATTTACATGTTATAATATGAATGAATAATAATATGAATTTGTCATACACTTTAATAACCTCACGAGCTAATATGATCGTGTTATACAAATACATTATATTTGTAAGATAAGAGGATTTATGTTGGATGAAATTGCTAATTAAAATGCTATGTATGCCACCATGTGGTTGGATTAGGCCTCTCTCAAGTGCATTATTAACTTCAAAATTATATTAATGATCATCTCTCTAATATATAAACAATACCTATTGCATAAGTAGACATCTCTAATATAAGTAGGTACATATATACGTAGGATTCTTTAGAAGAGGGATCTCTTTTTTTATATGTGAAACATCCAAATGCATGCACAATCGGCGGCCCCTTTCCCTATAATTCACTTTTGAATCTCATTATGTGTAATGTACTAGGTTTACAATTTTTTTTAGTAAATACTATGAGGTGTCCGGGCCAGCTTGCACGCACCTCAACTAATCCCCACTAGCGGAACTGAGCCTACCGTTGGCCATCGGGTGTTGCAACTGTTGAGACTCGAATTGGGAAGCAAACCCAACCGAACCCCAAAGCCTTACCCAAATGCCGAACAAATTCTTGGTGGTTAGGTTTACAATTTTGAGACTTAAAACCTAATAATGCTTCTAAGATGTCACAAGTACGTCACAAAAACACACCAAAGCATTCGGTCAAGACATACATACAAGCTAATTATCAATAAAGAAAAGGTAATTAAGCCGTTGGAACAATGATTAGTAAGCACATGAGCTCCAATCACGGCAGTTAAGAGTAAATTAAGAGAGTGTGGGTGTGGCACACCAAACCCTAATTGCATGCACAAGTTCTGAAAGGAGGGGACTGTGATTCATTAGGGTTTCGGCACGCGCTTGCAAACTACCCATTGCTTCATCTACAAGATTTACTTTGGATAGCATAGATGCATACTTTTCGAGCCCATCATTATCTTGAGGACAATTATCTTCTTCCCACTAAGAGGCCTCCTCCCCTTTAAGATGTTGGCCTTCATTATTCTTAGGGTTTTCCATGGCATGAGTCACCCCTGTCCTCTAGAAACTAATTATCATTTTGTGTTCCACTGTTCTTTCAACATGACCACACTTGCTGCAAAGTAGATTTGATACCTCACTTTTCCTTTTTCCCTTGCTTGGCGGACCATCATCATCCAACGACTAGGACAAGAAAACCGTTAGTTAAAGTTCGAAAAGTTCATGGGACCGTTGAGATGTGCTCATAATTTCTGTGTTGATATTGTGCTTTGCAAACTAAATCTAACCACAAAATTTAAAAAACGCGGCATTAGATTAACTAATTTTGTTCATTAAATGATGTGACAATATTTCGTTTAGTAAAATTTGAATCGATGAGATACTTGACATATCATTGAATACGATTAACGCAAACCCGCCATTTTTATTCTTAACAACGATCACATTAGAGTTTTCCCCTCAAATGTTCTGTTATATAAATTGAAGGGTCCACTTCTCAAGGCATACAAATCAACAGAACCCCTGTGCTCAGTGCTATAATGTGGTTTTTAGTTTGTCAATTAAAACGCTAACATGGATTAGCAAGAAGAAAACAGAGCTTGTGATACCTCATGCATACAGTATAATTAAGTCCCTCCATTTTCTTCATAAAAAAAAAACAAAAAGTCCCTCCATCACTAAACAAGAAGCAATAATATTATGATTCAATCCATGTTTTGGAAACGATAACAAGAAAAAGAACCCATAGCCACTAACACTAAGCTTATTGAAACAATTATGATAAGCAATAATACCGTTAAAACGTAACTATCAAGCGTGGAACCTTTTTTCTTATGAAACGACAGCATTCCGCATTAGCAATAATATAGTTCAGTTCTCTGTGTCGGTGCCTGCTTAATGTTGCATATTAAACTCCCCCCAAAAAATAACATATTACATTGTTGAGTCTAAATCATCATGTCCCTTGATAGTCTTCCGAGGGGCCAATGCAACATAATTACGTTTGGAGGAACAAACTGAACATAATTACTGCAACTAAATATTGCATACTACAGAGGTTTACTAATTTAATGTACGGAGAGGGGGATTGATTGAACTCGAGTGCCAAGGAGCGAGCACACTGCCTTGACCAACTGGACTAATCCACGTCTGCTCTGCTTGCAATTACAAAAATTAAGTATTCATACATATTGCAATTAAATATGATAAATATAATAAAATTATCAAAATTACCACAAAATTTTGGGCCTGAGAATGGCCAAACCATTTTTTTCCAATAAAAAACCAGAAAGAAACATAGCCCAAAATTTATACGAGTTTGGGCCACTGTGAGGCATCTAGCCCAATAATTAAACTATCAATTTGTTATGTGTTCAGTTTTTCATCGCCTAACTTGCGAAGGCAAAACTCCCACCATAGCAACTAAAATTCAAATCTCAACGGTCAGTCACTTTGAAACCAAATTAACGACGAACAACACATATGCTTCGACGCGCCAAATGTCTTTATGGTGTCATCCCCGGGCATGGTTCACTTGGGCAGCTGCAATCGACGTCCAGATATCGCTCCTATCGGAAAATCAACGGCGCAGATGACGACGGCCGTCGGAAAAGAGAGAAGGGTCAAGATGGGTATTTGCAGTTGCACAAGAGCAAAGGCCAACACCTCTTAACCAATCAACGCATTCTCGACAGCATTGTTCGAAAATCCGCAATTAAACCCACAGACACCGTCCTCGAGATCGGACCCGGCACTGGAAATCTTACCCTCAAGCTTCTGGAAGCTGCCAAGAGCGTCGTGGCCGTCGAAATTGATAAGCGGATGGTGGAGGTTCTCCAAAAACGTGTTGCGGAGTGTGGGGTTCAAGATAGGTTGACTGTAAGTCAAATGGCGTTTATGTGTTTGATGAAATGCGTGAACCAAAATTTTGCGCTTTTGCGACGAGTGAGATTAAGGTTTTTGATAATGCGTTTTGCAGGTTATATGTAAAGATGCACTGAAGGCGGAGTTTCCTCCGTTTGATATTGTTGTGGCGAACATTCCGTATGGAATATCTTCGCCCCTGGTGGCTAAATTGGTGTATGGGGCAAGGTCATTTCGGAGTGCCACGCTGCTACTTCAAAAGGAGTTTGCAAGGAGATTGATGGCTAAGCCTGGAGACTCTGAGTTCAACCGGTTGGCTGTGAATGTGAAGCTGGTGGCTAATGTGGAGTTTGTCATGGATGTGAGCAAGAGGGAGTTTGTTCCTTGCCCGAAAGTCGATTCGTCGGTGGTTATAATTCGTCCGAAAGCTGAAGTTCCAAACGTTAATTTGGATGAATGGTGGGCTTTTACAAAGGCTTGTTTTGGTAACAAGAATAAGACACTTGGGGCGACGTTCAAGCAAAAGAAGAAGGTGATGGAGCTGTTGCGGTTGTCCAAATTAGCAGGCTCAAACGGTGAAACTGACAATTATATTTGCAGCAACGACGACAACGGGGATGGAGGAAAGAGCAATGAAGAGGAGCTTTCTTCATCGTCTTGCTCGGAAATGGGAGCGAGTTCCGTCAAGGAGAAGTTAATGGGGGTTCTGAAATCAGCTGATTTTGAGGACAAGCGGCCTTCAAAGCTGTCAAATGAGGAGTTGCTGCATCTGCTTGCATTGTTTAATCAAGCAGGAATATATTTTCATGATCAGTCCAAGAGTAGTAATGCTGAGAATGAATCATTTCCTGTTGCTTACAGTTGATAGCTGTTAGCCTATTAGCTCGCTCATTAATTAGGATGTCATAATAGGAAAATCTTACTATAATATGACAATGATTTGTGTATTTCTTACTATAATAGGAAAGTCTTTTGAAAACAGATCAGTTTATTTCTTCCTGAAATGCTCATGGCTCTAGTATTTCTCTAACTGGATGTAATCTCATGACAGTTCCATAACTAAAATGAATCTAAAACCATGTTTTGAGTTCATTCATCTGATTGTTTTATGTAGAACATTAGTGATGGAAGAATCTTTGACGAAGTGGAACTCATTCCATCAAAGAAAATGATTATCTTGGTATTATTGGTTAAGAGCATTTACCTACACCCGACGACAGACTTCGAATCCCCTTTGTATAAAATCAGAGAGTAGTTAATTTTGCTATAAAAAAAATAAAAAGCAAGACAACAAATACTGGTACGGTACAAAACAATCAAGGCGTTCTGGGCCATTGCACTTCATCTTGGTGTGCATTATTATAGATGTCACTTACCAGCTTTTTAGTGGGTCTTTCTCACAGCATGGATCAAGGATCTTGAACCCCATTCTTTGTTTTTTACTTGGACCCTATCTTTTCTTGATATGGAATTGCAGTTGTCCGTTTCTCTCTTCCTGTACTTTTCTGGCCAGTAGTGCATTTATGCAAGTTTTATCTTCCATGAGGACCATAACTTTTATTCTTTGTAATTCATTTATAATTTTAATCTAAAAGTCTAATTTACAATGGCAGCAGTGGAAGACCAAATATTTTTTAGAGTGATTCTAGATAGGCTAATAATCACTTCTTCACATAACAAATTTAAGTGGTTTTAAGTGATTTTACGGAGAAGCACGTGTGAGATGCTTCTCCCCATAAGTTATCCTAACCCTCCCAAAATCTTTATTATAATCTTCTTATATAACCGACACAAAATTATCAGATTAAACATAAAAATTAATAGCTGGGGACTTAGTACATGTGGGAGTTAGATTCATTCACCCCCACTTGTATTGCATTCAATTTTGAAGGACCAAGGAAAAGGCCCCAAAAACACCAGCAATTTACAAAGATGGTGACACCAGAACTACCCTATAATGCAGATAGAGCCCATCCACCTAAAATGGGGACTTGTTACACCTCTCATGATTGCTTTTTTTTTTTGTTTTGTTTTAATAGCTCGAGATATTATGCTGTACAGAATTTTCTTGATGAGATAATTCAATTGTGGTTGTGATTTGTTCGTTGAAAGATCAAATTATACTTTCTAAAATTCTAAGTGCTTGTGGATGTGACTGAAATGGGCAGCTTCCTCTTCATCTTGACCGTTGGAAAGTGAACAATTTCATCCTTCTCAGCTACCCATCTGCAATGAGGAACCACAAAAATACATAAAGCTATATTGCTAGGTCAATTATTGAAGAAATCATTGGACAAACATAAGCTAGTGGAAAGCAGCAACATTGCCTTTTTCAATCAGGAACATTTTTAATATCCCATTGGAGTAATGATGTGATTAGGGGAAGATTAATACCTGTAATTAGTGACAAGATGATGAAGGAAGATTGATAATTCAAGCCTAGAGAGTTCCAAACCAGGGCACAGCCTCTGTCCTCCACCAAATGGAGTGAAACTACAAGTGTAGTTTACAGCAGCTTCTAACTTCTGCAGTCAAAGAAAACTTATATGAACAATACACTTACAAATTAACATAAATTAAAGCAAGAAGAAGAAGAAGAAAGTTTACCTCCCATCTCCATGGATCAAACTGATATGGGTTTTCATAGTTCTCTTCATCCATGTGAACAGAAGTTAAAGATGCCAAGACACACCATCCTTGTGGTATCAAATACCCTGAAAAACCAACATAAAATTCCTCAAATTGTACATGTTCTTGTTAATTATTTTCTTTATTTTTGGTTTTTTTTAAATAAAAAAAGACAGATACCTTTGATTTCAACATCTTTAAGAGCTTTTCTCCAAATAGCATTGATAATATTTGCCATTCTAAGAGTCTCACTTATCACCTTCAGCAAAAAAAAAAAAGAAAAAAAAGACTTGCTGATGGCAAATATAAAAAATAAAGAAGGAAATATAAAAAGAATGTGATATGATACTGTAAATAGGGACACAATTTATATTCTGTTTCAAACATTTGGGACTCACATTTTGAGTAAATGGCAAGGACAGGTAATCAGTCCATGCATAATTTTCTGAGGAACCAACCTTCTGCCTCTTAAATTCCATGTTCTCATCCTGCATTTACATATGATATATAAATAATAACAAAAAGCATTTAAACAGAAAGACAGACAGACAGAGAGAGAGGCAGTGCTTTTCACTTTAAAATCGAAACCAAGAATTTAAGGACAGCATGTTCATCTGTTTCCTTTCACTAAAATGATCATCCCTTCTTTACTTACACATATATGGAATCCTACTTTTGTAGAAATACAGCAATGCTTCTAAAAATAAAAACACAGTAGCTCTGAGTTTTCACTTTTCACCCACTTTCTCAGCATTTCTTAAAGTCAGAAAGAGACAAAAGGTTTCATATACAATTTTTCAGTATTTTGAGCTTCATTCTACCACTGTACAAGACCAAACAGTCATTTTTTCTGCTTACTCATTTTTCAATCATTGTATTAGTACATAGTAATAAGGTCTTTTGTGTTTGCAAATTTTCACATTGCACTTTACCATTATATAGTCCTTAGGCCCCATTGCACATATAAATCGTACGAGGAGAGCTAGTGTAGACTTTATAGCGAGACCTAAATGACGACTACCAGTTATTCACACGCACATGATTGTCTTTAGCAAAACTCTAAATGATGCAATTGAAATAGTTGTTATTATTCGTGATTGATAGTCAGTTGTTGATTAGCGCAAAGATGAGTGGATGACTGGACGCACGTTGCTAGTGGTCACAAATCAGCACCAAGGAAAAGTTAATAATAGTGGGTCCACACCTAACAGCCGTTCAATTTAAATCCAACGGCTGCAAAATGTCTATTCACAGCAAAGTGGGCCCCCGGACCGCCCCACAGTCTCTCTCTCCGTCCATGTCTCACTCGTGCGTGCATTCATTCAAGTGTCTAATGAGATGAAAAGAACTTTTAAAAACAAGTCAAACACTTCAGAGATAAAGCTAGTGCGCCCACAGGACCCAGTACCAAAACAGATCCTGACCGTTGGATTAAGGGCAATGGAAAAAAAAGGGGCAAGCGTCCATATATTATGATGTGATATACGTACGTACCCTTAGTTTGTCTAACGCCACAGGGCTGTCACTGAGGAACTTGACGGCTAGGGTCATGGCCACCGGCACAGTCTCTTCTCCTGGGATCATCATCTCTATGATATTCCCCGTGATGAAATCCAACGGCAGGCGTTGCGTCTCGTTGTTTTGGTCACCGCCATCACGTAACAGCACATCCATCGCGTCATTGACTGGACTTGTTTCTTGGATACTATTATTTTCCATAGCCTTTTTCTTCTGCTCCACTATTTTTCCCACCATCTTCAACAATCGCTCCCTAGCCTGCAAAATCCACACAAGCAATATTAGCACTAATAATTAAAAAAAGAAGAATAAAAACCCTAATTAGGGCTCACATGAAGACATGTATACATTTTTTTTTTACCTTGAGAGATTTGTAGAGTCTAGTACCAGGTAGCTTGATTGGTATGCAAATTAAACCTTTGATGAATTCTTCAAATTCTCTCTTGAGAAAGTTCAAATCTTCCCCAGGACCGACGCTCATTAATACTTTAACTAGAATTTCAAATGTTATCTGAAATACGAGTAACGTTTTCTTGTTATATATTTAATATGTTACGTTATCACAATAATGATTTTAAATAACGCGTTGAAACTTTTGGTTGGCATAGAGATGTAGAGACCTTTTGGGTTTCATCTTGAACGTAAATGGGAGATTGCATGTGTCTCCAACGAGCCAGGTTGAGCTTGACAGAGTTTTCAATGTCTCTAGTGATTCGATCTTTGAACTGTGGTGATTTGAGGAAGCCACCGATGAGCCCATGCACTCTCTTATGAATGCTTCCATTTATTTGCAGAATCGAAAATTTTCCCAGCAGTTCTTTAACAGATTTTGGATAAGCAGGGATGAAGGTATTTCCATGGTTTTTTAACACCACCTTGTTCACTTCAAAGTAACGTTCTCTTGTTATATATTTAATATGTTACGTTATCACAATTATGAATTTAAATCACGCGTTGAAACTTGTGGTTGGCATAGAGATGTAGGGACCTTTTGGGTTTCAACTTGAACGTAAATGGGAGATTGCATGTGTCTCCAACGAGCCAAGTTGAGCTTGACAGAGTTTTCAATGTCTCTAGTGATTCGATCTTTGAACTGCGGTGATTTGAGGAAGCCACCGATGAGCCCATGCACTCTCTTATGAATGCTTCCATTTATTTGCAGAATCGAAAATTTTCCCAGCAGTTCTTTAACAGATTTTGGATAAGCAGGGATGAAGGTATTTCCATGGTTTTTTAACACCACCTTGTTCACTTCAGCATCGGTGGACACTATGATTGGAGTTCCCAATATGTTCGTCTTGAACACCTTTCCATACCTGCATGTAGAGAGAGAGAGAGAGTGTGTGTGTGTGTTATTTTCTCATTTAATTGAACTTTGCTACTTTTTCATTGATGATGGGAGGATATTTTGTTGGGAGGCTGAAATCTATGGAGAATAGGATGTGTTGTTGTTAATTAATTATAGCACAGCCTGCAGAAGAAAGAAGCAATAAAGGGGTGTGAAGTCTAAGGTCTAGTTTTTTCTAGCCTTGTAGTAGCTAGTTAGTATAGAGCAGGCTTTTTCTTCCTTTCTTTACTTCTTGGGGTTGTTCCTTTTTCACTCTTGCTTTCTTTTTTGTGCTATTGTCACCATCTGTCATTGAGTGAACAAATTCCATTCTTTTATATACATGTTGGTAACCCTCTTGTTGCCCTGCCTGCCCCAATAATTTATTCTTTTTTCTTCTTCTTTTTTAAAAATAAAAAATCGGTGGTAGGCAAATGTCTATGTCCAAATGAATTCATGTCTCGTTATTAGTTTGAATACAAGCGATAATCTAAAATACTTTAAATTAATATAATTTGTAGGAGGAGAATTCGAACTAGGATATAAAGTGATAACTATGACTTAACCTAGGAGCACCCTGACTAATTGGTCTAATCCAAGTATTGCTTCAAAAACGTTATCCTTTTCTTTGTTGCTCATCTCTTTTCTGGTACACGTTAGATGATTCCCATTAAAGGCTACCTTTACCAACTCGAATCTCTTTTCGATCGAACCCTTTAAGTTTGAGCCAAAAAAGAAAAAGAAAAAAAGGAAAGCAAATATATGAAGAGTTACAGAATCAATCAAACATGGTTGAATATGTTTGGAAGTCAAGTCACGCAAATCTTTTACAAAATTGAAAAGCACATCATCAAAAGCAGGCGTACGTTTTTCAAGTCCATGGAAGTACAGCAGGGCAAATGAAAGATACTTATATTCATAGATGTATAATTCTACTGCTACATGCTACTTGACAGCATAAGCAGGGAAAGAACATGTATCTGTTGTTGACGATATGGTTTGAGAAGAAAGATGCTCGTTTTGATTAAAATATTTCTACACTTTATATTGTATAACATTAAGACCATAATTCCAGGATTAGGATAGTAACGATGGAGAAATTAAATTAGAAATATATATATATATCTTTTGGGAAGAAAAAAAAGTTGCAAATTAATCTGATGGCAAGTGTGAGAGAAAGAGCAGAGAAGAGAGAGCTTACAGAGATCTGCGTTTTTCCATGAAGCTGACAGGTCGAGAGGTGTAGCCACAAGCAATGAAGTCAAGGGTTTCTCCTATCAAAGGCCACCCTAACTTCCCTTTGGGGACTTTAGCACCCTTATTATTTTGGCTTTCGTTCTTCTTCTTCATCTCCTTAGAAACCCAACACAACGATCCTACAAAAATTCCCACCAAAACCCAACATCCCACAATCCATTCCATCCTCATCACCAAAAGAAAAGAAAAATGAAAAAACCTTTTGTTTCTCTTTTTAACTCCTTGTAATGCTTATATGCAACCCTAGTTGTAGAAACTAGGTAGAAATTAAATACTACTGCAGAACTTTTGAGCAACCCAAGCGGTGGTGATCATGAGCTTCTCACTCCATGCAGCTAGCTCCTCTATTCTATATACTGCAGTCTCTAATAGTTGAGACTTGAGAGAGAGAGAGAGAGAGAGAGAGAGAGAGAGAGAGAGAGAGATTGACAAGTCAATGGAGAAACTTGTTGTTTTGTCTTTGTGGGGTGAATTGAATTGAGAATTGAATGAGAGGGCTTGAGTGAGAGATTCGGAAGATCTTAAAGGGTTTCAACAATCATTAAATGAGGTGGTCAAATGTCTTCGGTTTTTTTTCCTTTGTTTCCATAAACAAAAAAGTAAATACAATGTAACCAACGTAATTCACATGTGTTTTAAAATCAGATCCAATTAAAGCTTATCTTTATTCCCAATTAATTTATGATTTTTCACTATGCGGAATTAATTTAGGATATTCATAGATTTGTTTACAGTGGATTTCGCCATGTTTGTCTAATAATATGGGAGCTTTGGCTGTAGATAGAAAAACTTCAGGGATGTGACACAAGAAAGAAAAAGGGGAAAAAAATAACAAAGATGGGGTGATCCTTTAGCATTAATTATAAATGCATATATAAACTTCATATGAGATTTCATGGGCTAGCAAAACTTATGATCTCTTTATCTCTTTTTATTTCCTTTATTCAATTTAGTATAGGGAAAAGGTTACCAGTTGTAGGACCAATAAACCTTAGTAGGAGACTTAATAGTCACACTTAGTTCAATTCTCCTTTTTTCCCCTTCTCCAAGAGGAGTGTTTTCTCACACACATTACGAAGGTGTCACGAGAGTTCAAGCCTGACACAATTGGTCAATAAGTCAAAATCCTTTTTCACTATACTAGACCCCATTAACATAAAAAAATAAATTTAAGAATGAAATCTTAATATAAAGAATCAAATGGTGGAGTGATAACATAACATCAAAATAGCTAGTGCACCTTTTAACTAACGTTATAAAATTTTCTTCATAAAAAGTATATCTTCACTTACATTATTTTATGCATAAGTCCGTAATGTTCACCATGTTTAACCTAAAGCAGGCGTATAATACTCCAAATCATGTACTGATCATTATTTATTAGTGCAAAGACATGCTTCTTGGATATTAGTTTATGAACTCGAATCTTAGCCCCATACGCGAGATCAATTCCAAAGTCACTTATTGCAAGTATGGGGTCGTTTGGTACGGCGGACTGTCATGGACTAGACTAAATCCTAGGACTGTCTTGGATTAGCTCGGATTGGCCTAAGCTGGATTAAGTACTTACCTACGTTTGGTGCTGCATCGGACTAAGAAGTTGGATTATAAAAATAATGAAGACTTATGTTTGGTGTTGTGTCGGACTAAAAAATAATTATTTTAATTAGAAATTTTAATCTAAAAATAAATAAATATATATAACTTTAAAAAAAAATTAATAAAAAAATTGAAAATTATAAATATAGTGTAGCATTTTGGGCTTTCATTTTTGATTCTTTATATTTTTAGGCATTTATAGGGTTTAGAGAACAGGTTGGGCCAAGGGTTTGATAAACAGTATCAGCAGTTAATTTTGAGAGCAAAGGTATTTTCTTTTCTTGAATTTATGGTTTGTGACTCAAAGTTTTCGAATTGGGTTCGAGACCAAGCTGCTCTTGCTGTTCTTGGTCTGGTTAAATTCAATAAGGATGTTTTTGTGGGATTGGTGCTGATGGGTCCGATTGTTAGAGCTTTAATTCAAATGGGTTCATCTTGTTCGATTCAAGTCCTCACTGGACTAGTCAAAATCATCAGAACCTCTCTGGTTGAGTGTGGAGAAATTGTGGAGAAATTTCCATTTTCAAGGGGTGTGGCAAGTTTTGCAGTGCAAGTGGAAGTTGGGGAAGGATTGGAGCAGATTGAGAAAAGAGCTTTTAAATTGGAAATACTGAAGAGAGTGAGAGAGGCCTCTGTTTCTGATGCAGAGGCAGCTACTGTTGTTGCAGAGGTGCTATGGGGTTCTTCATCCAAAGAAGAAATTTGGGGGGAGCGCTGGGCGCTGGGTTCTGCCACAGTCCGTCAATTGTGTCTGTGGTGGTGTGGTTTTGATTCAAGCAATAAGGATATCCATCGGACTCGTGTGTTCAAAATAACACGCTCGTTATTTTGTGAACCCAATTTCGGCTCTCTATATTAGACACAAGAGTCCGTGTTTTTTTTAAACTGTTGGATTATAGAGTCTCATTTAAGTTAATCCTCTTTTTTACCAAACATGAGTTTCAAGTGTTATTTAACACATACCAAACATGCCCTATATGTTCAAATTTTGGAGTCATGTGGAATTTAACAATAATAACTAATTTATATAGAATTTATAAATGAAATTTTGGATTCTTAAAATTTCAATCCTAAAATCTCACTACCCTTTAAATATAAGATTTCTAATTTCTGTATGACCCCAAGGATATATATGTTATTAAAAATTAGTTTTCCTTTTCCGCAAAACTCAAATACAAAAACCTTTACACTATAAATAATAAATAAAACAAATTGAAAAGCTTAAACTGTAAAATAAAACTAATGGAACAAATAATAGGGAAATAAAAGTAAAATAAATTAAGAGTAAGAATGCAAGTCCGGTATGGTGAAGCACGTCAAAGACGATGTCCTAAAGTCTTTGTACGTAGTCTCCCTATGTGCAGGTACTGATAGTATACAAGAATCCAAGATATGACCTCAAAATACACAAGTTTAAGGTCCATTATGAGCATGTTCACAGTTGAATATATGTCTCCAAGTCATAGAACCGTTGGCCAAAAAACAAAGAAAGTAAAGAATGCATGAAAGTAGGAGAAGAGATGTAGAGAGAATTAGTTGTGTGTCAAATGTGAATAATGAGTTAAATAAAAAAAATTAAGGCATTAAAAAATAGACTGAAAAATAAAATGTTATAACCCCGCAGTAAATAAAAGAAAACAACCAAAATAAATAAAATAAAATTTATAATTCAAAACTGTAAACTTTGAAAAGCTTTTAAATACCAACATAATCCTAGTCGGTCAACCTCTTATTACGTGCTTTTTTCATCATATTTTGTAATTAAGCATGTAGATTACTTGCATGAAACTTCTAAGTGGTTAAGAGTATTTACCTCTTCACTCGAGATCAAATATTCAATTTTTCTCACCTTCCATATTACTTGTATTAAAAAAAACATGTGGATTACTATCTAATAAATTGTCTGAGAGAAAAAGAAAAAGAAATGAGAGAGAGAAAAGAGAAAAGGAGGACAAGAGCGGTGAGGTGAGTGGTGACAGGGGGTCTAGTCGATTATCCATCTCTTCCTCAGTAACAGTAACAATGGTACTACTACTACTAGTGGGGGTTCATATTCCTCACGCGCCATATCTCCCAATGAAGGGTCAAATTCCAAGTTCCAACCAAGAAAAAGAAAAGCCCGTATCCTTTCCTTTTACCATTCAGGAGAATCTCTAAATTTTAGTCAAATTATAGTTAAAATAGCTAGAAAGCTATTATAGCAAACCACTTAAAAGTCGTTTCTTCTAGCAATGATCTCTATTTTGGCTAATATGAAATATTTTATTATTATTTTCTCCTTATCTTTCTCTATCTTTCTCTTGCAAATCCAATATATTAAAAAAATAAGAAAGTAGAAACCCAACCCCACCAACCTTCCAAATGTCTCTATCTCTCTCTCTCCCTTTTTTTCTCTCCTCCTTGCTAGATGTAAAGAGCCAAAAGTTGGTTCTCCAAAATAGAGAGCCAAGTAGGGAATTTTCTGGAGGATGATTTTCCTTCTTTTTAGCCAAAGTAGCTAGAGATGAGAGAATAGAGTCTGTTGAAGATGCTCTAAATGGATGTGAAATTGTCAAACTTATGTTTTGACTCAGTGCCTATGCCCCAACAATGATTTTTAAGAATGGTGAAAGGTAATTGTGAGCTATTGATGTAAGTAGAATCAATAATATATTAATCGGTTGTAGTTAACATTGCGCGAATGTATGAGTGACTAACAGTAGAACTGCTTGGTTGCAACGAGGAGTAATAAGTGGTTGGGTTGCTCGCTTATTGTGAATTGTGAAATGTGTGTGTGTGGTGCACTCTGAAGGGTCAGTGCTGCTCGTTGACCACTTTTTATTTGCTGCTTGGATAATCATGACAGTTCCATGTCACCCATCTTAGCCATATTGATCATCATCAACATTCTATCACTGGACTGGAGGAATTCATTGATGGAGGCCCTTTGCATTATTTTGCATTATTTCTGACTGGTTTCATAATTGTCATCCCTGTTGGCTACTTTGGGTCAAAAGTACCATCAAATTTTGGGATGTTGGAATTGGTAGAGATATTTGAGGTAATAGTTTCAACTGTTTCTTGATGGCAGAATGATGGATGAAGAAAGAAGAAAATTTGACAGCAAATAGCATGAAATCTTCATTTCATTGGGGGAATCTGATATTGAAGTGTTTTCAACTGGATAATCAATCATTATCCATACAATTTACACCGCAAACAACATGAATTATTCTGGTCAATTCGGGTTGCATTTAAACAAAATTCATGTCTCAATGGAATTAACTTTGAAGAGGTATAATCTGCAGAATTCACATTCATCAAACCAATGGAAGCCTACTCGAGATAAAAGGCAAGTAGGGTGGAAAGATGAAAATCTCATATATCAAATTACATAGGTTTTCATCAGATCTTTATCACAACTCTATATATCAAAGGCAAAAACGTTGCACTAGCACCTAAACCTTTTTGAAGGTTGAGGCTGTTACTTGTCAGTGAGAATGTCAAAGCTATACACTGCCAGAGTCCCCAAAAAACCAAATTTCATGGGCAAGGAAGACCAAATGCATAATTTGAACCAATCGTTGTTTTACCAGCATCCATAAATTCCCAACCTCCAAGCAAGAAGCTGCTCCAAGCATCCACCTTTGACAAAACATGAATGAAGTAATTCTGTAACGATAAATTACATAAAGAAGTAAAACTACTGCGACATTCATGAGCAGCTCAACCAGTGTGCATATTCATGAACAGCTTTGTTCAACTTCTACTTCCACAGGCAACAGCTTCTTCCACCACATTGTCATAAAACAAGCTCAATTTACTTATTGCAACAGCCTCTCCAAATAGGGATGCTCTTGTAGATTTCAAAATACGCACTTCAACATAATCACCAACTATGGGATTCCTTTCCTCATTTGAATCAGCATCTCGATGTGGTAACAGC